AAATTATTACATTTTTATTGGGAGATATGTCCAAAGACTAATTCCGATGGGAAGTTAAAGCAGGAGATGATTTTGGTGGATTATGGTATAACAGGTCTTGGTGCTTTACAATCATAACAGAATGCGTTTATCTTGGGGTTTAATTGCTCCATACATGCCAGACATAACACACCGTCAACTTTTACGAGACAATACTTGCATCCAAACATCCGTGGTAAGAATTATGTTTATCACATAACTAGTGGAAATGATACATAATAATCATTTAAACTGTTCAATAAACATGACGCATAACAGAATAGTTTACCTCGGCATAATATAAATCATGTGTCTCGTCTGTTATCTCAAGTGGAATCAATTTAACCCGTTTATAAGTAGGTAGGCCCAAATAGACATCATTTGCAGAGTTTGTTTGTAATTGAGATTTCTTAATAAACTCATCGAGTTGCTTATTGTTGCTAATCTAATTGTTTATGCCCGCAAATGCACCACACGGGACTACATCGGAGTATTCCACATGCAGAGCAGAATTCATATCGAGAATAACAATCGTAAAAGCGTTTATCAGCAACCATGTAATGATTATTTTCATACTCGGTAAATCTAATTGTAAGTTTGTTGCGCTCCTTAAGCCAACTTTTGAAGTTGTTTATCGTGCTTGTGTGTCGGAAGTGAGTATATTCTAGCAAACTCACTAAGGAATAGCAGCATTACCATGTATGCTTCCAACGACTCTACCATTGTCCAGCGTAGCGTAATAGACGTTGTCAATTTTAGTTGGCTCTATGTTGGTGATTTCCTCGTAAGTAATCCATACAAGTCCACTAGTTGCGATCAAATTGTCAATTGCTGGATTCTTAACTAACGAAAAACAATTATTGTGTTGTTATCACAAGATATTAATATCTATTATCGTGTTACACTAAATGTGGAACGTATACAAATTTTGCTTATTCGCCGCGAACCTTTTACAATAAAAAACTATTGTTTGTTTGACAAACATTAGCTCTATATTATCAAAACTGTTGATGTGTTCATTATATAATTGTTAAAGTAGGGCATAATGGGAACTAACGTCGCAAATTAAAAGCTGTCTACATTATATCATATTTTCGATTTTACTAGTTATTTTTGAACGATAAGAATGATAAAGTCATAGCTTATTATTATGAGCCTTAGTTTTGCTAATTAATCGGCATTTACAAAATTGAACTGCAGAGGAGTCAAATAAGCAACATTAAATGCGAGTTTTGTGTGTGTAAACGTAGATTTATTACCAGAAAGCAAAAATATAACAATAAAAATGGAGCATCAGAATCATTACATGGGAGGATTCCAAAGCTACTAATAAGTATAAATTGTCCACCCAATCCGTTATATTTGGTCGTTTGGTAGAGCGTTGTATTCAATTATTGACAGAGGGATATTGCTCAAAACGCGGCCTTGTTAAGTGCCCGCTTTAACTAAGACGTCAACTAATGTTGAAGACGTGCTACGTATATATTCTCATTACTCTGGGTTGCTAACCACCTAATACTAAACTGCTAAAAATAAAATACCTTCTTATCATCGTTTAAGATGCTAGTTTCGAGTCATTTTTTTTAGATTTGATTTATAGCTCAATTCTGTCTGAAAAAAATTTTTTTTCAAGAAAACGAGCCTTTCAACAACACTGCTGCCAACAGCTTACGAACAAGGAGAGAAATTATACCAGAACAAAAACTGATGATTCCCTAATTCAAGTCATATAATTTAGAGGGACAATGTTACTTATCGATTCGTTAATAACGTTTTCGAATTTTCCTTCAGCCGCCTTTGAATGAGTTTAGATGAACTGCAAATATATTTTTCACTACTCTTTATTATATATACACATTTGATACTAATTAACGTACTAATAACACATGAATGGCACACTTCAACGCCTTGACAATACTACATATACTGCAACATTTTTAACGATGAAATTTTACGCTCACGTCTACTGATTTTAGCTACAAGATTATGACCTGTTTTTACGCTGATCGATTTCATTTTGCGCTTCCATAAGCAATGTGACATAGTTTCAATCCCAAACGTAACATATTAAGGGTTTTATCTGTATAGTCTTCATTAATACAACTTTTAGTTGTGTTTTTTGTTTTTTCTTCCGCGTAACTGTAAAGTTTGTATAAGGAGACAGCCAGACTTGTTCTTTTTATCGAGTTAAACTCGAGACCTTTGTCTCGCATTTGCTTGAAACCTCAGGTTAAAAGCCCATTTAACCATGAGGGCTCGATTGTTACACATTTTCGATAATCTCGTTCGCCGATCGGTTTGTTTTTCAGGCTTTGTAACGTTTGAGAAATTAAAGTAAAATAACTCAACTGCTGTTTTTAGAAAAAGCTTGTATTTACAAATACTACGGACGTATTATTTGAATGACGATAATTTACCTATACTTGTTATCATTAGGTTGAGTTTCATATAAACGAAATGATGGTTTGCAAAGTTTTTGTGGTAACCAAATGTCAACATTATTGTTAATGCATCAAATTGTCATTGGTTACACTCACCATACAGTGGAACGATAATTCGGCGTATGTCAACTTATCAATCGGTATCCCTTACTCTTGTGATGCATTTTAAAAAATTTATTATTATGCTATCTGCACTTGGCCACCAATAAAAAAGATTTACCTTATTCTGAGGCTAAATATTGTAGCAAGTACAAAAAATAATACATATTTAAAGAATAATTTTTTAGTTTTTTGTAAATTGAGACTATTACTATGTTAGAGTCCCCCTGTTATTAGACGCTATTTTTTTTAAAGAGCCAAAGATCTCAACAAACTGATGAGTTGTTGAAGAGTAATGGATTTTTAAAGACAGGCACTTGGTATTATTTCCATACATAATTTTTAAGGCCGCTTTTACCATGTTATTATCAATTTGTTTATTAAGATAAACATTTAATCTAGTCTTTGCCTCTGTGACAAGTAATGTGTATGTCGTATATAAATCCCGTACCACAGTTATTATTATTATGTTTATTACAGAATAGTTATAAGAAGCTCGAGATAAAAAAGAGATTGAGCACATAAGAAAGAACCAAATTTGTATAGCGAATCTTGATAATATGCATGATATAAGAAAGTTGCATTCTCGATACAAGATCAACCAATAATAACAAAGCTTTTTAAATAGTCTTCTTTATTCACCATATCCCGATTTTCCGAGATTTCGAAAATTGCGGGGGCGAGGTGGAAAGACGAAAACCCTGAGAATTATCGGAAATGAATCCTACAGCAGACATACAATCTTGTAATGAACCCGAGCAAAGAGGAGACGAATCAATGACCATAAAGATGGAGAAGTTTGCAAAACAATGAGGGCTACTTTCCAAAGGCTGAACTTGTCGAAAACAAAATGGAGGACTTTTATTATCCAACTATGCGAATTGTCTGAATAAATTAGTTAACTATAAGTTTTATGTACTACTATATGAAATCGTTTAGTTGACAGTATAGAATCTTCTTATATCGTGAGAATTCGTTGAAAGACGGACAGCTTCCTTATAAACATCGTGTTTGTGTTCAGAAGTCACGAGATCGACAATTTTGATGTGTTACATCATTAAGATAACCAATCATATTTGTATTTGAAGTTTTTCTGATTTCGATATTTCTCAGTTATCATATTAATATATGTTTTCAAAATGGCAACAGAGACCTGCTATACCATAATCCACCAAGATGACAGTCAAGAACAACCTTCTTTACAGGAGCTCAAGACTGCTCTTGAAAAAGGTTCAGAAGAAGCCAAGATCGAGACTATGAAAAGGATATTGGTTACTATGCTGAATGGAGATTCATTACCCCAGTTATTGATGCAAGTCATTAGATTTGTAATGCCCTCAAAGAATAAACAATTGAAGAAATTATTACATTTTTATTGGGAGATATGTCCAAAGACTAATTCCGATGGGAAGTTAAAGCAGGAGATGATTTTGGTTTGGTATGGAATCGACATTGGTGATTGGGCATTTGTTGGTGACTATTATAAATAGATTAGTACAAGATCGAAACGAGCGTTCGTGTCTAATAGTAATCATTGAAGTTTGTTTGTTGATTATCAATACATTTGTACCATTTTAGCACCAGAGCAATGACACAACGTGTAGTGCTCTATTTAACCAGAAAACATTAATTCATCCAATCTTTGCGTTATATATCGATCGATTTAGCAATGCTATTAGAAATGACCTCCAACATCCAAATGAATATATAAGAGGAGCCACTCTTCGGTTTCTGTGTAAACTGCGTGAACCCGAGTTACTTGAACCATTAGTTCCGTCCTGTCGATTGTGTCTGGTATGCCTTTTCGTGAATGGGTTTTGCATTACACATGAAATCTCCTAGTCATCACATTAATTGTCCCGATCAATAATTATTAGGAACATCGACATGCATACGTCAGGAAGAACGCAGTATTCGCGATATACACCATTTATAAGCACTTTGAATATCTCATTCCTGACGCTCCTGAATTGATTCAATCATTCCTGATAGCTGTGCGTATTAAGACAGACGGACGCGAATATGATTTTATGGATCAAAAGTTCTTCATGTTGATGTTTTGTCTATTTTTAGGAAGGAGATCAAACTTGCAAAAGGAATGCTTTTGTAATGCTATGTAACACTAGTCAAGCACGAGCGGTAGAATATCTTAATGAGGTGTTTGATCAAGTGCCTAATTTTGATGAACTGCTGCAGATGGCAGTGATTGAGCTTATTAGGAAAGACTGTCGGAATAATTCGGTTAATAGGGTTGGTAATCTACTATTAGAAAATAATTTCATCTGAAACTGTATTAATATAAAAATTGGGCATTTTCGAGAAAAGCCATTATATTAATTCGACTTGGTAATTACAGGGAAAATACATTCGATGTATATTTGAATTGCTTAGCGCGCCATCACATTCAGTAAAATATGAAGCCGCAACATCGCTAATGGCTCTCACTCACGCGCCTGCTGCAGTAAAAGGTAGCAAGATACATGTTTGCTGAATATATGTACTGCAAATTTTCTAACACGTTTCTATATACATTAGCGGCGGCATCTTGTTACATTGAGCTCATAGTTAAGGAATCAGATAACAACATAAAATTGATTGTGCTTGACAGACTCGATGAATTGCGTGAGAAACATGAACACGTGTTGGATGACTTGGTTCCGGATATTTTACGCGTGTTGTCAAGGTAATCAACAATGTTATAGACAAAGCGGTAGCAATGGCAATCTTGTTTATAAAAATCGAGTTACTTATTTATATTCACTATTCTTAGTCCTGACATAGAGGTCCGTCGTAAGGCCCTCCGTATCGCCTTGGAATTAGTCTCGAATCGCAATGTACAAGAAGTGATTACACTTTTAAAGAAAGAGCTCAGCAAAACTCTCGATCAGGACTACGAGAAGGTTATGAATTGACATGCTGCCATAGTACATTGCCTATTTATTTCAACTATTGACAGTTTATTTATTTTCAACAGAACAATGAATATCGCCAACTATTGATCCAATCTATTCATTCGTGTGCTATTAAATTCTCCGAAGTTGCTGCTAACGTCGTTCATGTGCTTATGGAATTCCTTGGCGACTCGAATAATCCATCCGCTGTAGATGTAATTACCTTTGTTAGGTAAGGAAGTATCATGCGAAATATTTATGTATATGGCTTATTGGCTCATAATCGTTTGCCTTTCTTGCTGTAATTGAAGAGAAGTTGTTGAGAAGTTCCCAAGTTTGAGAACTTCGATATTAGAAAAGTTACTTGATACGTTTATGGATGTCAAATCAGGAAAAGTGTTTAGAGGCGCTCTGTGGATTGTTGGCGAATACTGTTCGGAAGTACAAGGTACAGCGTTTTATGTAATGATATTTACATTCATGTGTAAGTTACTCAATTATATTTAATTCCATGATCTATAGATATTGAAGAGGCGTGGAAACAAATTCGAGCAGGTCTTGGCGAAATTCCAATACTGGCATCCGAGCAGGTACGGCGGTGTTTTTTTGGGGGTAGAGTTGTGTCAACTAGATATCATGGTAATAATATTTACGCAAATTCCCTTCCATCATCACAAGTAGAAGTTGCTTGACGAAGCCTCAAAAGAAGACAAACCGGATGAAAGCCCTGAACAGAAAATTCAATCTACGTCGTCTCGTAGAATCTTGGCCGATGGGACATATGCTACAGAGACCGCATTTTCATCCAACTCATCTGCCATGGCCAAGTTAGAGGCTGTAAAATCTGCTACTAAGCCCCCGTTGAGAGGTGGGCAGTAAATTCATGATATTGACTGCAATGACTGACGGATGTTTTTATGGCCGGAGAAACTTATGCGCATATTTGCTTTTCTACATAGCCTTGATACTTGCGAGTGATTTCTTCCTCGGGTCAGTATTGGCATCAACGTTAACCAAATTGGTTATGCGATATACGGAAATATCCGATGATCCTGCGCGCGTTAATGCACTTCGGGCCGAGGTACGTGGAGATGATTTAATGGCTGTTGTGATTACGTTTCTGACAAAAGCAGTTATGATGATCTCACATATGTTCTGTCTTTTAGGCAATGTTAATAATGGCTAGCATAATTCGCGTGGGGCAATCACAGTTTGCAGCTTCTCCAATTGACGAAGATACCTATGACCGTATAATGGCCTGTATGCATGCATTACAAGAATTTTCCAACGACAACACAATTAAATCAATATTTTTACATGATACCAAGGCTGCGTTGACAAGAATTGTGGAAAATGAAGAGGTAATGTTTATGTGAGATGAAATTTGCATTGTTTTTGACAACTTTGCTGATACGAAGTGAGATTTTTTTTTTCCGCAGAAAAAGGCGGCAGCCAAGAGATCAAAAGATAAATCTGCGGCTGCCGGACAGGCGGATGATTTGATTTCGTTTAGACAGTTCTCTAAACGCAATATTGGAGATGAGACTGATGAGGTATTTCATTGACGAGTTTTCAAAGTCAAAGTTTTTATATTTAACCTTGTCGAATATATTTAATTCACACTCACGTTGCTCGTTTAGTATGAGCTAGATTTGACGCGAGCTACTGGTCAGACTGACCCAAGAGACGATTTGATTTCCAAATTAAGTCGTGTTGTGCAATTGACTGGTTAGTATTACGTGTAAATGCAATGTCAGATATCGAAACTGGTTTATTTGTTTTGCTTCGCCATATTAGTGTAACTGTAAATGGTCGCTTGTAACTTAGCTTCTTCCTTTTTTTATAGGGTTCTCCGATCCCGTGTACGCCGAGGCCTACGTTAACGTCCATCAATTCGATATTCTACTTGGTAATTACACAAGTTTTCAGCTTTGATTATCCATTATATTCGCATTCGACGTCAGTTTCTTACTGATAATTTATTTTCAGACGTTCTAATTGTTAATCAAACAAGCGAAACGCTGCAGAATTTAACGTTAGAATTTGCTACACTTGGTGATTTGAAGTTGGTCGAACGTCCTACGCAACACAATCTTGCTCCTCATAGTGTTCACAGTGTAAAGGCTACAATTAAGGTCAGGCTTTGCTAAAATAATACACACATAAATGATTCGTATATGTATCTAAATTGCAATGTCTTATTCTAATCTAGGTCTCATCTACTGAAGCGGGTGTCATATTTGGTAATATTGTATATGATGGACCGGGAACGTCGGAAAGTAATTGTGTCGTGATGAATGACATTCATATTGACATCATGGACTACATAAACCCTGCTTATTGTAACGAAACCCAGGTAAAGCGATATTCGATACCGAGTTACCAGAATCTAATATAATTTGGCAATTAATCACTTGTTGCACGTGTTAATACTTTTTCAATCTTCTAGTTCCGAAGCATGTGGTCCGAGTTCGAATGGGAAAATAAAGTTAACGTCAATACCAACATCGCGTGCGTATACCCTCTTTCCATTTATTAATCTAGCCTGATGTTCTAACATGTAATTGATTTTGTAGTGATCTTCGTGACTACCTGAACCATATTATGAAATCCACAAACATGTCTTGCTTGACCCCCGAAGCGGCCCTGGAAGGTGACTGTGGGTTCCTATCTGCCAATATGTATGCCAGGAGTATTTTCGGTAAGTCATTCTCGTATTGATGAGTTTTCCAACAGTAAAAAGAACGTTTGAACTAATGACATATTCTTTTTCCTATAATAGGTGAGGATGCGTTGGCAAATCTCAGCATCGAGAAGCAAACCGACGGTGCGATCAGTGGCCATGTTCGTATTAGAAGCAAGACTCAGGGAATCGCTCTAAGTCTAGGAGACAAGATTACGTTGGGTAAGTATGCGTCGCTGTATATCATTAGTAACAGTTTTCTATGGGCAAGCTTCTGACTCCAGTTTGATATTATATTGATAGCTCAAAAATCTGCTGCCTAGAGTGAGATATCACGAGAACTCTATATAATTATTCATAGATTTTTCATATGGAATAATTTATATCAATAAAAAATGCCATAGAATAAGTTTATATGCAATAATAATAATTTATATCGTTGTACGCTGCGGTTCAAATTGCCTTTGTAAAGACTTTATTGTGTGCCAAATCCGTTTATTATTATTCGCACATTAACAATAGCACACAAATTAGAATGTCCACTTAAGCCCTTTTTCACATTCCATTCATTGATGGTTTTGTGTTATTAAAGTTTTTGTGTTTGAATGAACATTGATGCAAAGGCCGAATTTTGGATGCGTAATTAACGATACTATACAAAGAAAGACACTGATGAATAACAAGCTCCTGCATAAATCAGTGTTACATTCTGTTGTCAATACCACATACCTTTTTGAATCCAATATCTTTGGCATATTCACGGAAGCACTGACGGCACACGTTGAGATTGTATTTACGAATCAAGCCAGCACGATGGGCACATACTCGACTACAATGTTAATGTGAACATCACTTGGTTGCCGAGAACTTTTTATGCAAGACACCGTTACCACACATACCATTCGCGAGAACCCTTTCCAAATCGCCGAGGACGAGAAAACCAGACTGCGTCGTGAGACATGATAAATCTCTTTGGTTTTTTGGTTTTTTTTTGTGAAAACGAAAAAGAAGGAACAATGGTATTCGTAGTGGAGCTCAAAAAAAGATTTTCCACTGGCTACACAGGCCAATGAGAATGCTTACAATAATGCAGGTCATTCAAGCCCATTACTTATTATCAATGTAGGAATCGCATGTTATATCCGAAAACACACTTTTATAAAGACCCCTCCCCTCCGTCAGGCGGACTCTAGCAAATTTCATTCTTTCAAAAAAAGTGCCTCGGCTGCTTTGACGTACGCCTTGTTGGGTTATCGAAATCCAATCGCCGAACAAAACCTTATTTCACACACTCAGAATTCAGAAGCATCTGTTACCTCGCTTGTAACAGGTTTAACCTTTTTAACATCGTGGGAAGGCAATTTTCCTTTGACCGACTCCAAAATATATCCCAACGAGGGGGGAAGTAGAAAAACTATATACACATGATTAAAAAACCCAGAAGACAGACAATAACGAGGAACTTGAGATCCAGGCGGATAAAAATTATACCTACCTCTAGTTCATTCAAACCGAAAATCAACAAACGTCGTCGTCGGAAAATTAACCAAAGAGAAAGGTCGCCTGTTGAGAGCGAGGCTTCCTCAGATAGTGCCCACGATGAAACCCAGCATGATGATCTTGTTCACAAGGTCAAGAATTACGAGTCAACAATTGCTGCTTTGAAAGGGATGGTAGATAAAGCAAAGCAGGAAAAGTTAGCTATATCACAGAGGAAGATCAAGATGGAAGAAGCCATTTCGAATCGAACGCGGGGTAAAACTCTATTGACAAGCAGTGGTATAGAAGTAGACGTTGGGAGCGCAAATGAAGTCCTTGAGGACGTAGAAGCACATGCTGAATCGAATGATGGTGATGATGACGACGACGACGACGACGAAGATGATGATGTTTCGTTTCATGTATCGACTGAAGCAGATCTGCATGTGGATGACAGAAGAGAAAGTAGACCAGAGGACCGCCCGTTAACAGACAATGAAGACGAAGGTATTTATGAAATTGAAGAGGCGGATTTCCGGGAATATGATAACGACAGTAGCGTGGACATTCGAAATGAGGAAGGAGGAAACACGGGACTCTTTACTCCACCACATTCAACCTCTCATCATCCCTCGCGCGCAAGACATCGATATCAGCCCTATACTCTTTCCAATAGATTAGGCATGATAGAGCAGAACTTGCAGAGAGTGAGCTGGAAGACTCACGAAAGTACTGATCGAATATCGCGGTTAGAAAACAAGTATCAGAAATTGGCCACCAAACTCAACTCCCAGGAAACAGAGAGTTTAAAGGAAGAAAGACAGGAACGAAGGGAGAGAAATAAAGATAACAAAGCTCGAGAAGAAAACGGTGTCAAGGCATTGGTGGTTCTGGCTGCCTTTGGTTTTGGGGCCGGTATTGCAACCATGAACATCGGGCGGGCGCTGGCAACTGGATTTAGTATTTGAATTTATTGAGAGATCACGGGATAGTCATGGATGAGAGGGCAAGCTATGCTTGTGGACATGTGGAATTTGGGATAGTTGCGGGTTCGACTGTTGTACATTTAATTTGAATGGGTAAAAATTTCTCAATTTTGGATGTATCATATATATAATGCTAACACGTAATCAATTAAAGTGGAGATTACCAGGTCTTTTGAATGCTGTATTGCGAATTCGCATAAGAACAATTATTGTTACGCATTATATTTGTAATAATTATATGGATTAAATATAATAATAGAGAAATTTAGTATGATTATGTCATTGTTGCAAAAAAGAATATTCTGTTCCACGTGAAGACCCAAATACCAGTTAATACCGATATGCAATTTCCTTTATTGTTGTTATATTGCCTTGTGTAATTTTCATACTCTCAAATTACTTGGCCACATGGGCAACAAAGGAGAGCAGTAATCTGGTTACCTAGAAATAGGTCGAACATCGTGAGTAATACACTTGCATCTGTCTCCAAGCATGCGCAAGTACACCAATTGCGTTCCCCATTCATGACATGCACGAGTTGCATCTTTGTTTCGCATAAATGATCATCCCGCACGTGATCATTATAATGGGAGTTTACCGATTGAAAATATATTAATAAATGACTAACGGATGATATCAATATCGCCTTTGTTATTGCATAGCATTGTCGAGCAAAATGTACCGAGTTTTATTTGCCAGAATAAGTATTGGATAATTAAGTCATTTAGTTAGAGACATAGGAATGTTCCCGCCATGAAAAAACAAGAGTTAGAGAATTTCTTCATATAAAATCAGCGTCCAAAAAGAAAAAAAAAAGATTTTGTTTGCATTTGGGTAGACCACAATATATGTCTTACCTAGTTCGATTTTTTGTTCCGATTTTGTCATTACCGAGAAACAGGTAGTATATACTCTTATGAAGTTGCTGCAGTGAAATCTTAGTTTTTCACAAAGAAGATCGTAAATCCAGTCTTGGATAACCAGCAATAGAAAAGGATACGTAAAACATGATTTTACTCGAATATAAAATACGGAAAGAAAAACTAGACATGTCATCCGTATAGAATTCGATTGTGTCTCGATGCTCAAGTATTACATTATTGTCGAATTATTATTCCATAAACCATACCCAGCTATGTTGCTGACGAGTGGTAACATTGAAACGAGACGATAATCGATGAATATAATTAATTATTCTCGACATGTCAAAACTGGCAATAACCCCGAATGTTTGAAAAATAATATTTAAAACTTAATGGCTGAGCCTGCACTGTAAATAAACTCATTCAACGTCGAATATAACTTTTGCCTATTTGATAACTTTTCTTTTGTCCAAAACTAATAACTTGTATAACCACGTAAAATACGTTAATACAGTACACTTTCTTCTCTCTTTCCTTCTACGACGTTTTTATAACTGACATATTTCTTTAAAATAGACAAAGTATGCCGGTTATAAATTACTCTTTTGTTTTTCCTCACATAAAGCCACGACTTGTATTTAAAAGCACAGCATATACTCCTACACACCAGATTCCATTCGCTTTACCACTTCGGTCCAGAACAAGAAAACACCACCTTAAATAAAGAAGGAATAAAGGAAATTTTTGCTTTCTCCCAACAAATAAATAAAAATATTTGGTGGTAAGTTTATAAAGATTTGGTTCTGTATTATAAATTATAGAACACAAACCAAAGATGGCTAAATTCTAGAAAACCCCCTTTTTTTCTGCTTGAAAAATAAATCAATGTTACAGGTAAATGTTCAATTTCGTATAGGTTACAGCAAAACTTTATTTGAAACGCTTTGGAAGAAGGAAAATTATGCGTTACTTATTATTATAGAAAATCAAGCGTGTCACAATCAGCTTGCGTGTATTATGTGTCCGTTATATACTTTTCTAATGTCACATTTTACAACTTGCTGTTTGCAATACTAATTAACTTGGACTTGTTGTACCTCAGTTGGGGACCTGTCTGAGTTCTGGACTGAGTGACTGGGTTCTGAACTAAGACAGATCCCAAACTCAGACACAACAAACTTTTCATTCTTCGTAATCTGTTTTTGCAGTATAAAGTAGTACTTGTTTATTGTAATGTTACTCGCACTTTATAGTTAATACCTGGGAACATTTGTGTAAAGTTTTAATTTAATCCGTAAATATTTTAAAGTTACCTTTGATAAGGCTATTAATAATTGGAAGCAGATACGAATAAATAGTTTAACTATCCTCCGCTACAGTCTAACCTCGATATAATGATGTCAACGGGACAGGGGGGGTTTTTTTTTACTATATCAAAAATTCACTATACCAAAATTTTTCATTATGGTGCCATATTCAATGTATCAAGTCTTCATTATATCGAGGCTAAACTGTAATAGAATTTTTGTAGTGATTACAAGTGTGCGAAAATCTTAGCATTTTCACTTTACTTGTCAGTGTCATTCTTCTCAATACTTAGATAAGCAAACACTAGTTTGAAGCTAAAATTTGAACCCGGATATAACGAAACTTTGATAAAACGAAATTTGACTAAACCGAAATTTTTTTTTTTATAAATTCGATGATATTCCTATTCTGGGGTAAATTATGCCTTCGATCTCTGTAATTTTATTGGCTGTACTTAGTGTGTATCATGATTAGTATATCATTCTGTGTAATGTGTTAAAATATAACCCATAAACAATATTAGGCCACAGCATACGAACAATGTATGACCCTGTGACGCAAGCGACAGATGCATGAATACATATTCATATACTGACGATAACGTTTTATTCCAAGAGATTGTAGATACCCTTAGTCGTAATAAAACGTTAGAAGAAGAGTCTTTTAAAGAACAATTGTGATGAGTTGTTATTGGGATGCGATAACATGCTTGTAATTTGAACGTTGGTTATTCTGTTATAAATGCCCTTTCCTAAATTGAGAGAAAAAAAATTGTTCAAAGCAGTCATGACAAACTACTCTTGAGGAATACTAGAAATTTGATGCGTAATTTTACATACAATAAAGTTTCTGTTTGAACGAAAAATCAATGTTGCTTCTAGTCTACTTTTATTGTTATCATATTCAAAATTTGCAGTAATACATAATTACAAACTGTCACCATTTTACAACAAAGGTATGCCGAAATTGTATAAAACTTCTTTATGAAAGAGGGAGCTTGGATAACCCAGTTCACTGTGTACAAAGAATTTCCAATTTAGTCGATACCCTACCTATTTGGGTATTGATTTCCCAAATTTGATCGGAGCATCAAAGCATGATGTGACAAAAATGAAACATGAACGGATGAAAAAGGCACCGATCCCCTGCATAAACTAATATGCTGTACAACAACAAAAAAATCAACTAGCTTACGTGCGTGGTATACGCAAATGCGTTCTTTCGAATATTCATAATATTTGTTATATCTACATGTATACGATAATTCATATCCGTATAGTATAACTTACAAAAATTATATTATATATCATAGCATATAGACTGTTTGAATGTACTGATAGAAATTTGCTTAAATACATTATTTCTTATTCTTTGATAGCCTGCCTTTATCTCAGTCCCATTTCTCGACCGATAGGCGGTATTCTCGTAATTCTAACACAATAATTATTAGTCTTTCTTAACATTTTCATTCAGTTGGGTGAATCAATTTAACACGTGAGCCATTGAGATGTTTTTGTTATTCTCGTATCCCAAAAGAATTTACATTATATCGAATGACAGGAAACGTCCTGTCCATCTCGTAAGACTCTGCTGGTCACGTCTGTCCATTATTTTCAGCCAGCTGCGCATTTACGTTAAAGATATCCATTTGATAGGTATTGCCCGATGAAGCGCATACCTGCTGTCTCAAGAATTGTACCATTTTAGGGGAAATTGGAAATGGGAAAAGCGAAAGATTGTAAACAAAATCTTGGATAGGCAAATAGATTGTTTCATCGGTAGGATAAATTAACGTGCTATCGGCGTCACAAATATTGTTGTTGTAAACGTTATCCGATACTAGATTATGACAGACGGGGGGTGTATTGTAATTATTGTCTTTCTGAAATAAACCTTCGAGCCAAGTGCCATTGTGTGCGTTCTCATATGCGAGATATTGGTCGGTATCTATAACAACCGTGCTCATGTCACTCTCATTCGCCTGGTAAGGCGGTTTAATATTGTATATATTGGTATCTTTAATATTTCTTTGCGTATGCATTCTATTATTTTGCCGACTTGTAAATGTAGTTTTATCCATATTTTTGAATACAACTTCGCCATTTTTTTCCCTCTGTTTAGTCCTTTTTGGTTTGTAAACGTAATCAGGAAAAGCAAGCCGGTGTTGTTCTCGGGCCAATTTAGAAAGTACGCAAAAGTATTCTTTGACCACATCGGACTGAACCTTCCACTGATCGCCGGCAATCTTTGAGACGTCGTGAATGGTATATAATATAGTGGGGAATTGAGCACGTAGTCGGTATTCAAAGTCCCTACGATAAAGAATCCACGCATTCTGAGGCCTTGGAGGAAGGGGTTGACGTTGTCTAACGTGGCTTTTGCATCGACGTTGTTTAATATGTCCTTTGTATGTAGGGTTGAGGAGAACGTCAAGAGAGAGGGTAAGATTGTATGGGGGCCAGTTTAAAAGGATAATTTCAAAAGGAGTGAGTGAATTGGTGGAAGGTAGGTCAATACGATATTGGTCGTTGATCAGAGTAGCCATGGTTAAACTTATAAAACTTTTTTCGAATCGTCAATGAAAGCGCGAAACTCGAGAAAGTGAATAGAGGGTTTATATACCAACCGTCAAGTGACAGCTTGGAACATTTAGGCTGCTTGTTATACAGCATGAATGTAGACAGTATAATATAAAAAATCATTATAAAATATAAAATAAACTATATTTATTAAGTTTGCATAATAACCAAGCCATCTCAAAATAAAGAAGTAACAATACTATAATATAAATAACTTTCGAAACTGCGGGAGCAGAGCGTTATTCATGTGCTCTGTTCAACACCATTCTTGTATATATGAAATCTAAGATGAACAAATGCTCACATCAGCATGCAGAATAATTGTTTTCGTTTTCCATCGACGGCTTGTGGTTGATGCACCTCACCATTACCAGCGTTCTGGTAATGAAAACGATGCTGGTACAAAAAACTCTTTTGTAGATATGATTTCGGTTAGCTCATACGGAACAGAGTGGCCTTATTGGTCCACAAGTTTCCAGGTCATATTCTAGATAGTTACGATGGAAATGCAATTGACAATCGGATGGATTACCTAAAGTGTTAAAACCACTGTTAATATGACATGTCTTATTAGCATGTTCGATAAACAAAAATTGCCAAAATATTTTTCCTAGTGTCCCAGTGTCACACACCAAAAACATTCTACCCCTTAGTTTCTATGTTACATCTTACATAACGTTTCCGTTTTATTACGGTGATTTTCATCTGAACTGGAAATAGGTACTATTGATTATACACAACTTAAGTAATGAATTTGATATCTTCTTAGTTCTGTACGAATATGCATGAGTACTATTTGCGGGGAAAGGTGGGAATTACGACTCGAAGTTTTATAAATATCCTATCTGCACATCTCAACTTACCCAACTTTTTGAGAGTAAATTCGCTACATTAACAAACTTGTTACTAATTGTTCCACTTTACGTGCTTTATTATTTTTAAAATGTTCTCTCAATGAATTTTCGTCGCCCGCACTGCACAAGAAGACCAAGCTATGTCATTACACAAGACATGTATGACGAGGCTATTCAAATACTCCGTAATCCGATGGGCCTGTTGCAAGTGATGATTATATATTAACGGTATAATTAATCCAATAAATTGGGTCAAAAGTAACTTCCAATTTCAGGAGAAAGATAACAAAGAGATGAAAACACTACCCTCGGAAAAGTATCCGCCAGCTAAAGAAATTTTTATTTATGTAATACAAATATAACATTTAATACTTGGTAGGCCATCCTTGATTCTTAATTCATGCTTCAATTCTATGCGGCATGCTTTCTATAAGTTTAGTATAAGTTTCAGACGGAATTTTTTTGATGTACAGAACGTTTATTGCGCCTTCATTTAAGTTCGTTCAATCGGGTTAAGGTCTGGAGATTGAGAAGGCCAATCGGAAAGTTCCCTTAACCTGTTTTTGAGCAATCCGATTTTGACATCTCTTGCTGTATGAACTGGAGCATTGTCGTCTTGGAATGCATAAGGCTGTTTATGATGTTTAAATCGAATAAATAGCAATAAATTTTTTTCTAAAATATCAATATAATCTAACCGGTTCATTTTTCCTTCAACTTTCACCAATGGTCCTAATCCTCTTCTGAAAAACAATCCCCATACCATAATTTCATGTTTGACTGTAGGAGTCAAATTTTCAATATCGTATCGGGTACCATTTTCTCGCCAAACACGTTTGGGTCATCGATTTTTACGTTGTGATTCTGTAAGAAGTGGCTTTGGTGCAGCGCATTTGATGAAGAGTTTTCCGAATAATATCCAAAAATTTCGGCTTTTTAAATTTGAAAATTGCGATGAATTTCACTAAGAAAAGATCGTTTTTTTTTCTTTAGTGTATGGTGATTATTCATGGAAAGTGGCCTTCCGGTTCTTTTAGTACTCGATCAATCACTGAAATTAAAATGCATATGTGACAGTGCTTTTTGGAATTTTTAAAATCCGAGCAATAGCTTCGTGAGTCCTTCCAGCAATTCGCAGACCGATTACTTGTCTGCGTTCAAACTCATTTAATTTTCCCATGTCGAATGATACAATTTAAAAAAAAAAAAAAAAAAAAAAAAAAAAAAAAAAAAAAAAAAAAAAAAAAAAAAAAAAAAAAAAAAAAAAAAAAAAATCCATGTAGTTACACAAATATAAATATATATTAATATGTTCTAGACCAAATCATAACTTAACCCGTTTCAAATTTGTCACATCGAAATGGGCCAGAACATATACACACAATCATCAAAACCAGGGGTTTATTCAAAAGAAAGATTTTGGTTAGTTAATATGTCCGATACTTTTCCGAGGGTAGTGCAGTAGTGTAGCATATTAATATGGACTGTTTGAATGTACTAATAGAAATTTGCTTAAAAAACTACAGCTGTTTCTTATTCTTTGATAACCGCCTTTATCCGCCATTTTCGTAATCTCTAGCACAGTCCTCCTTAACAGTTTCATTCATTTGGTAAATCCATTTAACATGTGAGCCATTGAGATATTTTCGCCATTCGAATACATTATCGAATAACCAGAAAACGTCCTGTCCATATTTGTCGGTATAGTAAAACTCGACATTAAAGGTGTCCAGTTGTACATTTACGCCATATTTACAGTACTCTTTTTTATTGTTAACCGATAAGAATAGTGATTTCGAAGATATACTTTATATTGGACATGACGTCTATACAGCTAGTTTCAACATCGGCTATTAGCATCAAGGAATCCCACAAATTTATCCCACATTTTTAATGTCGCACAGTAGAACTACTATATAGGAAATAATCTTCATTGTAAAAACCAACATTAATTCCGGTCATCATTGTGTTAAACTACTATATATAGTAATCATACTGTGCGACATTAAAAGTAGTTTGATCTGTTGTGCATCGTAACTGCATGCATTGACATGCAACTTTTTTAATTGTGAGATTGTGTAAATAGTGCAAAAGTTGTAACAACTACAAATTGAAGTTGTTGACAAGTATGAGATACAGAATTAACCTTTTGTCGTAAGATTAAAAAAATTTTATACATGTCGCATTTCCGATACGCAAAATGTTAGTAAATTAGACATACAAATTACGTAAAATCTTGCAAGATATTAATCATTATGTGTAATACGTGAAAGGTAATTATAATACAGATGGTATCATGTCCCCGCAGCACATGGTAATATCTATTTCGATGATATCCCGTAAATTTATGCGGGAGAAGTTGTACAAAGAGTAAAAGCTAGGAAAAACGATATCACATCTGTTAATAACAATAAAAATAAAAATTCTTTAGCATTCAACGTGCGCTTAATTAAGTAAACTATAATAAAAAATAAACATCACGTATTACTATTTATTAAAAAATTGCCAACCAACCTATGTATTGAAACCTAAGATCTCAACGTTTGATTTGCTGTTTTTATATTACTCAGCAACCTTCAAGTTTATTTGACTCATCATACCCTTACCTGTTTCTTAAAAAGAATACTTTCCAACTCTGAGATTCACCACTGTATTGTTCTTCACAATTAATTCGATTAGAACCATGTTTATCACATTACACATTATCATTCGATATGGTCTAACACATGGAACGATTAACACAGCATGATCGATCCCATCAAGCGAATAGTGAGCATAATTGACAGTGCATCAACGATGACCTGATCATATCGATCAGTGATTTCATCATATAATACGTATTGGATATACCACGGGATAAAGTTTTATTTTTCCTAGAATTTTACTTTATTTTTAGTGACTTTGGTGACAGTATATAAGAACAAGATGAAAAAGAATTTAAACCGGAAATTAATAATAAACCCGTCACCAAAGTTGTCACCAAAGATTTTTCGGTGACAGATAGCACACCCGATAGCTTTTATCCGATAGCATTTACACGATATATTTAATAACATACCCAATAGCAATTAGATAGCATAACTGGATAACATTTATTATGTAACGTACTCGATAACATTAGTTCAAGTATTTTTCCATATCATATTCGGCTTTTTTGATAGCATATACATGATAGCATTATCGGTAACATTATCGTGATAGTCAATATACTTTTTGATATAACATGTCTTTAAACATGAGCGAAATCAATTTACTCACGCCCAAGTAAAAGTTTATCTAAGATAGATCAAAGAGAGAAAAAAGGGTACACAATAATATAGTCAAATATAACAGACAACAGACAATTAGAAACATAGTAGTAATTTATTTAATATACCATTGATTTTAACAAAGCAAGTTTAATATGACTAAGGGTTAGTAAAGACGCCTACAATTCTGATTTGATTATGCATATAAGTAAACCTTACATCTAAATATTGAGATCGGTTTGCATTCACATATATTATTCTTGACCTTATGGGGAATTGGGTTTGAGGAAAGTTACGCGATAATATTTGATCTAGTGTCGCATTAGCAATGTCCAATATTGCTTGAACCATAATTCCTTTCTTTGTGGCACTTAATCCTTCCATATTAGAGAGAGCAATTCGATTCAGTGTGACCTGTCGACGGGGAATATTGTTCAATGTCCTCTTCTTCAAACACTTGTTTCAAATGTTCAGCAAGGTGTTCTAACGGAGTAATCCCTTCTCCTAAAAAAAATTATGACACAATTAGTTTAGAAGCATCTGATTAATTGTATCTTTCAATAAGAAAAAATAAAACTTACTTCTTGATACAATGATGTGGGTTCTATACCAAATCTCTTGACGAAAATCTATAATATATAATAAGCTTAATATATTAATAACATTTAAAAACGGTAATAGTAAATCTAACCTCTCCCGTCTTCTGTAAGATCGGCCCAACTTTTCTCTAACCCTCTAACTTTAAAACAGTCAGGAGCTTCGAGAGGCAAAGGTGTGGAACGTTCAATAGAAATCGCTTCCTCTAAGGCTCTATGAGACAAAAACCTACATAAAAAAGACATTCTATATTATTAGATCGTATAGTATACATGTTTTCACTGATATTCCAATTCCATACCGGGTAAAGCGTAGTAAGATTACAACAGCCCCAAATAGAAAAAGCACAAACAAGACAAGAGGAAGGTTAAGTAACAGAATAATGAAGGTGCAATAAAGTGCAAGTGCTAGAATAGGAATTATAATGATGAAAATAAGTTGTTGCATTTTTTTTACTCTCTGAGTCATGTCGATTTATCGATTTATATAGTTTGCTACATGAAATGTTTAAGGAAAATTGATATCATCGAAAAAAATCATGATATTTTTTTGTCTCCCGATTTGTTACACGCAAGTCATTGTACGATGCAAACGAATTTTGATATCCTTGGTACATGCCTAGTGATGAATGAATGACGACGGTGTTATATTTTTGTCGTCGAAAAGTGTCATAAAATACATATTATTACACTGACGATGATATCAGATTTCTGTCGTCAGAAATGTGTCATAAAATATATATGACGATGGTGTCGCATTTCTGTCGTTACGACATATGACGATGGTGTCAGACTTCTGTCGTCAGAAATGTGTCATAAAATATATATCACGACACTGACAATGGTGTGGCCTAAAATATAAAACGCACGCCATACTGATGCACGACTCAGTGGTTCTCAATCGGCGATACAAATGTAACAATGGTATCGCTAGACCTTGGTATCGATTCACAAATCGGGCATAATAGCCAGTCATGCCTAAGAATCGTTTTACTTGCTGTACATTCTTTGGTGCTCCGTATTCTTGGATTGCTTCTATTTTTCGGTCATCTACCATCAATTCTTTGCTACTTACTACATGTCCCAAGAATTCTAGTTGCTCACATACGAAATGGTACTTCTTTTTCTTCAATCTGAGGCCATATTTTCTACACTTCTCGAAGGTCTGCCTGATGTGATCCATGTGTTCTTCAAATGTCTGATAATAGACATTTATGTCATCAATGAATACTGCTAAATGCTTGTCGATTTGGTCTCTAAAGATCAGGTCCATCATTGATTGAAATGATGCTGGCACATTTTTTAATCCAAATGGTAATCGTAAGAAGGAATAAAGTCTAAGATGACAGGTAAATGTGGTCTTGTGTATATGATCAGGGTAAACTGGAACATGCCAATACCCACTTGCCAAGTCTAATGCTGTGAAATATTTTGGTCTAGGTCCATTCTTGGCAATATTCAAGAATATTTCATCTATGATCAGTAGTGGATATGGGTTCATTGTTGTGATCTTGTTTAATTGCCTATAGTCCACACAAAATCTCTTACTGCCATCCTTCTTTCCTACTATTACCACTGGCACTGCAAATGGTGCCGATCAGAAATCTTCATTGATGTCGATGTCTAGCTGTTCAATGATGTTTGCCTTCTGCATTCTTTCAACTTCAGCTGTGATAAAGTCTTCACTTTCCCAAGACTGCTTGTATCATTTGGAGAATGCTGTGTGACCAGGTATTAGTATGGTTTTGATTCTATGCTGGATAATGGTTGCTTGTCCCAATTGCATAAGGTCTTCTGCAAAAATGTCATTGTATTCTTCTAACAATTTGTCCATAGCCAGTTTCTGTTCAGGTTCTAACACTTGAAGAAAGGGTGATGGTTTTTCTTGCACTTTCTGTCCTAAAGCAACTGTTTCTGAAGCTAAATGAAGTCGTGGGAGTAGGGTGAGGAGAGCCACTGCTTGCTGGGCTCTAATGACTGTGGGGAACGGTGCGATTACATGTACTTGCACTCATTGTTTAGGACTGAGAGTCATTAGGTTTACTACATAGGTTGCTGTAGGATTGTAAGGGCATAGCATTGCTGTGGCATTCTGTGGTATTTGGAGGTCAATGCCAGTAGGTATAGCCATTGATCCTTTGACTAATACATCTTCATTTGAATAGAGTACATATCCCTTTTCTGTGAGCTTTGGTGGTTTTGAGTTTGGGGTCCATTGTCGAAAACTGATATCTCCCAGTTCTTGCCAATTAGTAGGGAATGGCACCTTAATTTTGTCGGACTAGCTTACACCTGGGAGAGCAGCGGTGTACTAGCCGTTTTGGGATTAAATTCGTTTCCAACGGAAGCTTTTGCTCTTCCTACTTAAAACTAAATACGTACAATTAGTGACCTTTAAATTTAGGCTTTCAATACTCACGATGTATGGTATCGCTTTTGTACACGCTTTTCCTAGGTTATCGTTTAAACTCGAGTATCTCAGCGATTTCCGTAGCTGGATTAGT